AGCAGAAGAGGACCTGATGGAGAAATTTCTCCTTCAGGTCCCTCCTCTGCTGATTGACAGCAGGCAGTGGGTGGGTGCAATAGCCAGCCTGTTATTGGCTATTGCAATCTGAAATATCCAATAGCAGGCTGGCTGTTGCTCCCAGCAATAAAGTAAAAAAAAAATGTTTTAAATAAAGTTAAATAAACTAAAATGAAAAATACAGAAAAATCTAAAAAGTTTTAAAAATTGTTAAAAAAACTAAAATGAAAACATGTTTAAAAAGTTTTTAAAAAGTTAAATAAATAAAAAGTAAAAATGCAAAAAAAAATAAAAATAATAAAGTTAAATAAACTAAAATTAAAAATACAAATACAAAAAAAAGTTTAAAAAAATAAAAACACAGCCTCCTGAGACCCAGCCTCCTAAAACCCCCATTTAGTAGGGGGGGGGGTTCTATTGTTTTAACATACTTATAATTAGCTGCCTCTCAACATACCCTAAAACTGTTTAATGGGAAGAAGGCAGATGTGTTCACTCACTTGCACATTAACACTCACAACCTATTAAGTTAAGGTTGCTAGCAATGAATATAAAGTAAATCTATTTGCTGACAACCCAAAGTTATTAACGATAAAAAATAATTGTGTCATTTCAAATGTTCTTAAACATTTGAAGTTTTTTAGCTTCAATTTGGGACTCTCATTTATAAAATGAAAATTATATCTGCTTTTCTGCAATATCTCAGGATATATTCAGGATATAGAAAACACTAGACATGTGCATGGCTGAAAGTTTTGTTTAGTTTTAGAATTTTTTTTTTCATTTTCTGAAATTCGTATCCATTCGACATTCGTTATTCGGAATACGTATCAATCCGAAGTTTTCCTTTTTGGAATTTGGATCAAGTTCTATTCTATTTGGTGGATGGAAATTAGTATGTAATTAAATGTGAAAGTTGAAATAAAAAAACAGCGTGGGCCCCCCCCCCCCCCCCCAATTTTACCCCGAAAAAAACAGCAAAATTTTTAATAATGTTATACATTAAGCAACAAATCTTCACATGTGCCTTTCACACTCCCTCTATGCTTTGCTCTGCTCTCGTCCAAACATGGTGGACAGATGGGCACAAGCCCAGCAAACAAAGGAAACCGATGGACGGTGCAAGGCAACAGCTGAAATCGAGAGGGGCAGAAGATCAGAGGTTACTTTGACCCTATCCTGTGGAATTTAAGACTTCACTCATGCTATATGTTCTCTTGAAAAGCTTACCTTCAATCTAAAAGAATATATGCCACAGAATAACTCAAGCTCTCACTGAAAAAACACTGCATTATGGAAGCCTGTTGTTCCTTTAATGTTTTACGGTATAGTTAAAAGAATTTCCATAACTTTCAAAGAGTATGCTTACAGTATACACTAAAATGTAAAAGTTAAAAAAAAAAAACCCCGGGGGCCCCCCCCCCCCCCCCAATTCATACCATGAAAAGAATGCCATAAAAAAGTGTGGGGGTCCCCCCAAAAATCCCCATACCAGGCCAATTGCCCATGTTGATGAGGACATGGGTCTTTTCCCCACAACCTTGGCTGGGTGGTTGTGGGGGTCTGCGGACAGGTGGGCTTATCTGAATTTGGGTGCCCATATGTAAAATTGGAGAAGCCAAGCTTGAATAGAGGTGGGGGGTGGGGGGGGTGAGACATCTATTGTCTGCCACATACAATGCTGTTTTAACACCTCTCTCTGGGCAGGTTATTAACACCTGCTAGCTCCAATTATGCAAATGCAATCAATACCTGGTTGCGACTTAGAGATTATGTGGATTGGAGCAACATTCACCATATTTATTCCCAGATAATTCTTGTACAAGTCATTCTGAATTGAGAAAGCTGGTTGGATGACCAGTGAAACGTCTTCAAGAAAAATACAGCAAGTCCAGTTGCCTTGACTTATTTTTTACAGATACTTAATTGCTATGTGATATTGCTTTGTATAAACAATCCCATTTTACACCCTTTCACTGTGTGACATGACTTTGTGAACATAACTTGGTCACACACTGTTAATGTGTGACATGGCTTTTGTTGATAAACAAAGGTTATGTGACCATGTGATCAAAATGTTTTAAAATTCTATGAGAGGAATTTATCAAAACTGGAGCAGACAACATCTGGAGCAGTTTCCCAATCAGCTTCTCTCTTCAGTTTGTTCAGTTAAGATTTGAAAATTAAAGAGAGAATCTGATTGGTTGCCATGCACAACTGCTCCAGTTTCGATAAATTCCACTGTCTTTTTCTTGCATTTTTCACTTAATTTTTTGTGTGATTTACATTAACATTAACAAGATTTACATTAAAGTGACATTAAACCCTCAGATTTTTTAACATAAAACAATACTGTAATGTGTGCCTTACTGAAATTCATGGTTGTTTCCTTTCTCTTTGCTGCTCTTCCTTTTAAATCTGTATCTGTTCTAATGCTCTGCAGAACTTCTGTTTTGCAGCAGACTGCCTTGTCTCAGTAATGGATACACGGTGTCTGTGTATACATTTGTATAGGCTTGAAACCTGAGCCAGCACTACAGGTAGAGGCCCTGAGCTGCAAAGGGAAGTTCTGCAGAGCATGAGAAGACATGAGGATTTAAAAGGAAGAGCAGCAAAGAGAAGGGAAACAACCATGGATTACAGTAAGGCGCACATTACAGTATTGGTTTATGTTAAAAAATCTGAGGGTTTAATGTCACTTTAAGTTCGTTGGCAGGAGACAGTATGTAATAAATCCTGAATTTGCATGTTCATACAGCGTGGAAATTATGTGTATAAAATAAATAGATGGTCAAGATGAATGCATTATAAATAAAACTTTGTGACAAGCTGTAAGAAATATTTCAACAATTTATTGCAGAACTCCCTCCAGCCTGAAGAGTCACCACAAACGGATTCTAAGAGCAGTCCTCGTCTCTCAAGAGCAAGTTTCCTTTTTGGACAAATATTTCCGGTACATTTTTAAAACATTTCTTGAATATTATTTGTGTAATATATAATTTAGAGTAGCATCATTATTTTCATTGTTTATATATTTGCATATGAACACTTTTTGATATTAGAATGTTCAGCTTGACCAGGCTTACCCTGGTCAAGCCCACGTGGTGGTGTTTTTTTACCAGGTACAGGTTCATCCTGTCACCCAGGAGGAATTATAACAAGGCTGAGCACTTTCTTGGTAATTTGAGGCTTATGGGTGCATAATATACCCAGCCCATATTCCCAGCTGGAGTAGGCTCCCTCAGTAATTACGTGGGTCATGTCATGTTCTAAATTTGCACATCATAGGTTTTATAAATCATCAGAACCTATTTTGTGTAACTCTTCCTGTTCGTTTATTATATAGAACCTAGTTTGTGATCAGGAAACTCCCAAATGGTCATCTCAAGGCCAGCCTCAGCTGTAAAATATTAGTGAAAAGCATAGTTACACATTTCAGTGGGAAAATTACAAATTCTGGCATCTGGTAAATGCACCACATTTATCGTGAAGTGTTCTTGTAAAATTAACCATTTTCTTAGCTCCATGGCAGGTAATGTCTGTCTACCTTTGTGTTAGGGAACTGAACAAGAATATCATCATAACATGACACTTTTGTTTTTCCAGTTTGTCTATCGATCTGAGAACAAATACAAAAGGATGAACAGTAATGAACGTCTGCGTGTGGTTTCCTCTAACTCACCATCCTTAGAAACCATTAAATTTTTATTAGACAGACAAGACGGTATGGATTGTGTTTTGGGGTATTCTGTCATTAACATTTTGTTGGCACCATGCGTAATCTGTACAATAATCTGAACATTGATAAAACTGGGTATGGTATTAATGTGTTGCATTCATCACACTAAAATGACTGGCTGACCAAGTCTTATACCCCACTTTTGCTGATAAATTGTTTTAGTTACAAACTATTGACATATGTAGGGTGAAGGGCTTGCTGGGACATCTAATAAGGGAAGCATCAATGTCAAAGACCAGCTCACAATTTTATTCTTTGGTCATAGTACTCTAACCAGTGTTTGTTTCCAGACTGGGAGGATGAGCCCCTGGAATGACTTGAAATGGAACAACCTACACAGGTTCCCTTTAGTCTTATGAGGAGGAGTATCCTAAGAGGCTGTTTTCCTGGAATAGAGATTTCCAGGATGTAAGCCAATCTCACTTTTAATGACTATCATAATTTTGCTTTCCTCTATGAATTCTTCCTAACTGCTGCATATAGCTCTAAAGAGGACAGCTGTAGCCTACTGCAATAATCTGCACCAAGTGAACTGTAACAGATTATGTGCTGGATTTACTGTTCATAGTTTAAGCTGAAGTTACCTGTCTCCAAATAGGAGATCACAGCATGTTGTGGTGATCATTCATCAATGGGAGGCTGTACAACATTTTTAGGTATAAGAATAGTAGCAGCATGGTAGGGGAAACTCTGTAAATCAACTACTACACAAAAGAAAGCACACCAAACAGACTATGCTAAAATATGGAAATAGAAACACCAAAGTTAAAACTGAAGCTGGTCCAGCTTGGCACAATGTCTCAATATATACTCGGTGTTCTTTGGTAAAGGGGCAGTACTCCTTGTAAAAAAAATACAGGCTTCCCCTTACTTTGTTCATGTTTCTCTCCCAGTACTCTATACAGACTATTTGTAGGAACTTCCTATGGATATGTGTGTGCTACAGCTGAAGGTACTGTGTGATGGTACAACTGTTTATAATCCAAATCAGGAGTGTGAAGAATAGGGTGACAGCACTGGACATTAAAAAAAAATAAAGATGTTAGAAGTATGCAGGCCACACCATATTTAGTTTTAAAAACAGAACTCCAGTCAAAAATGACAAGATAACAATGAAAAGACCATTGATTAAATGAAAAGACAAATGAAAAAAACAAAGATTTCATATTTTTATATATATATATA